CGCCCACCCCCTGCCCGGCGACGAAGACTACCCCTTGTACGACTCGGATGACGAATCGGTATATTCTGACGAACTCGAAGAAGCTCGTCGTATAGGGGGCGCCTACTACGCGCAGCAGTTGGCCAAACACTATCTCTGCCGAACTGGTCACGCTGTCGCACAGGGTCTGATGGCGATAATCCCCCGGCCCCGTCCAACGTCACTGCCTCCCCCCGAACAGCGTGGGATCGCTGTTTTGAGTAACCACCAACGTACCCTACAGCGATTCCAGGCTCCCCCGGGTAAACGTAAGTCTCACCTCCATGCTATTCCATGCATCACCCAAACTAACACAGAAATAGGCATATTCGTTCCTATCCGCGTGGAACCAAAAGTCTACTTTGCCGCCGAGCGAACCTTCCTCTCCTGGTTAGAATTCTCCATCATCATCGGCGGAATCGCCGCAACACTCCTAAACTTCGGCTCCGACTCCGCCACCCTCGTCTCATCCTGGGCCTTCACTATCTTGGCCGCCGGAGCCCTTGTCTACAGTCTCTTCCTGTATATCTGGCGCGTCGACAAGATCCGCAAGCGTCGCGACGTCAAGCGCGTTTACTACGAGCGCTGGGGTCCGACGGTCGTTAGTATCGGACTCGTCGTAATCATCTTGATTAATTTTGCGCTACGTGTGCAAGCTGGCGGGTTTATGGCTGCGCCGGGGTCGGAGGGCGAGCCGGGACATGGCAAGCATGGTGAACTGTAGAACTGTTGATTTATTTGGGAAAGAAGAACCGAATTGTTCTCTTTTTTTTTTTTAGGGGGTTGATCACCTTCTATACTGCTCTTGGGCGGGCTGTTATTTTTGTATCTACTGGTGCTTGGGCTGGGGCGTTGAGGGATTGTAAATCATGTACAAACCGCATACATACTTTTGCAAATATGAGAACGGCACTCGATTAGTGCTTGACTTCTGGTTTATTTCTGTGGATGTTGTAAGGTTGAAGATAGTAGTCAAAATATATACGTACCACGCAGCCAATATATATCCAAGACAAAACCAATATAAATGCATGTTTCATTCATGACCTTTGATTTTGGGTATACATAATAACAAAATCCAATGCTACTAGCCATAGCCATAAAAGCCCTGCGGAAATAACGCTCGTATCTATGCAAAATGCCAAAAAAAAACCTCGTGATGTTCATTCCTCCACCTCCATTTGCATCTCTTGCTCTAGAAAACAGCACCCGTCAGTATATCTCTGAAACAAACTCTCTACAAAGTACAACATACCCCAGATCTTAATCGCATGCGCAATAATCGTCTCAGCCTTAAGCAACAATTTTGCAGCATACCTCTCCGCCTCTGTCGGATAGAGTTGACTTTTTTGCGCTTTGCGAGGATTTGCCTAAACACACCAGAGACGTGTTAGTAGACGATCACACACGCACATACGTAGTCTCCAAGAATACATGTAAAAACAAAACAAAGCAAAGCAAAAAGAAATCCCAAACCCACCATCATAAGAACAGGAACCAAATCCTTCGGCTCAGCCTCGGCCAAAGCCCTCAAATTCCTAAAACCATTATCCCTAAGCAACCTCGCGGTCCAACTCTTAACAAAAGTAACTTGCGCCATCTCGAGCAGATCTGCGCGCGCACCCGCCTCAAGTCTATCGCGCATATGATCCAACACGGCGGCCATCATGCCCCAGTTCATGCGTTGGCAGAATTTGACAATGCCGGCGGCGAAGCCATGACATTGCTGTGCTAGGGATTGGACTGTGCCTCGGCAGATTTTGTAGCGGTGTGCTATTGTTGATATGGGGATTTCGTTGCTTAGATCGCGGAGTTGGAAGGCAGTGTAGGCGCGGCGGTAGATTCGAGCTTGGTGTATTTGGGATGGGGTTGTTTCTTTTAGGGAGGCGCCAGATTGGACCCTGGATGGGGTGTTAATTTGGGTTTTGGTTGAATCGAGAGTGTGTAGGGATATACGGAGGAGGAATGGAGTAGGAGGGAGGAGGAGACGTACATTGTGTTGACGAAACCTGGTTGGACTCCGACGAATTGCAGGGCGCGGAGACCGCTCTCGTCTAGCCTGTCTAATTGATCGCGGAAGATCTGCCAGTCGATGGGGGTGTTCATGGCTGCTTGGAGCGGGGTGAACATGTAGAAGATGTGCATGTCACCGTCCATGACGAAGGCCTGTATTGCTCTTTTCAGCTCTTCGTGAACGAATAGGCCGTCTTCGGGTGAAAATGCCGAGGCCACGACTGCCTGTCCTAATGGTGTGGCTTCGTAGGATTCGTCCTCTCGGAAGATAAGAAGTTCTTCGTCGACTAGTTCCTGGAGAGCGGATCTCATGATGGTGTATGCGATCTTCTTGTCTAATGAGCGGTAAAGAAGCGTACACCGAACGTATTCTTTGATTGCCTCGCAGCCGGATACCAATCCTGTTGCCACGGCCTCGAGTAAAGCCCTTTGGAGTGTGAGCGAACGATTCGATAACAGTAACATAGGGCTGGATGAGAGATACATACCGCTTAAGGCCTCTTTTTTCCGGTGCTAGGCAGCTCTCAATAGCTGGCATGTCAGCGTCCAACAGATCGCAAACAGCCTGCATATCAGCTTTCACGCAGATGAGATAAGTTTCGCCGGCGTCATCCTTGCCTTTACGGCCAGCACGGCCGCACATTTGACGACTGCTTTTGTCAGCTTATACTCCTCATTCCAGGGAGGGGGCACATACAGCATAGCCGGGCCCACTAGTTCACGGCCCATGCGCGCACCGTTGATGATAACTCGTCTCGCTGGGAGGTTTACACCAGCCGCAAGGCTACATGTGGCCACGAGGACTTTGAGCACACCCTGGTCATAGGCCTGTGCAATTAGCTCTCTCTCTTCGGTGGTCATACCAGCATCTAAGTGGTCATTAGTAAGAGTGAGAGTTCCATCATGGATGTCAAATACTAACTGTGAAATCCTGTTCCTTTGATAATTGTTGTCTCCAAAGCTGGGTCCAGCCCACAAGCGAGACTCCGTAATTCTGCGAGAAGGTCGAGCCGCTTATTCAACTCTTCGGGCTCCGCTGGCGGCATCGCTTCACCGATAGTCGCAGCATGAACCTGGCATGCGTTACGGCTACTACAAAACACCAATGATCCAAACCCAGCGGCTGCAGTTTCGACTGCTAGCGCTACCATAGCATTTGTGGCGGAGTTGGCGAGCTGCTTGAAGGTAGAAGGTTCAATGATTCGATGGGGAGGGATGGTGTCGTGCAAGGACGCAGCAGCAGTCAGCTTGGATGCCGTTTGGAACAATTGCCTCGAGGTTGCAGCTGGGTAGATTCCATTCTCGTACACCAAGTATTCGTCGATGGGTATTGGTCTGTATGTGGAGATGTAGAACTTGGCATTCATCCATTGTGCCAGCATCTCGGTATTCTGTAGATCTGTTAGAGTAGTTCACCAATGGATTGAACCATAGACTCACAGAAAGCGTGGCACTCATTCCAATAATCTGGATATCCTGCTGCAATAACAGTAACTTCGTGACCATCAATTCCAAGAGATAACCCCGGTGTTCGTCATCGAGCATGTGTAACTCGTCGAGAACCACGACTCCCAATTCTCCAATGCTACACTCTTCGATTGCGCTGTTTATCAATGAATTGGCCTAAGAAAGTAAAAAAAAAAAATCAGAACTCTGCAAGCAACACTGAACGCCAAGTGTGCATACCTTCTCTATTGTACAAACGGCAATATCCGTATCAGCCCAAGTGGCCGTCGTCCGACTTCCACCAAAGAAGCCCGTCACTCTGATATTCTTGTGCAATTTCTTCCATTGCCGAGGGAATTTAAAGTCTTCTTCATCATCCGGGACATTTCTCTCCACATCTTGCACAATGCGTCGCATCCACTTGAGCTTCTCTTGAACCAAAGCAACATAAGGCAAAACCAACAGTGCTTTACGCCCTGGGTTTTCAATAATACGTTTCAAAAGCAGAACATCCGCAACAAGGGACTTTCCACCGCCCGTGGGAGCCGTATAAACCAAATGGCGTTCACCAGAGAGCAAGCCCCTCGCCAGTAGACACGACGCCTGCCACGGGTAGATACTTCTAACACCGAGGGCGGCAAAATTGGCCGTGAGCGCGGGCAGCAAGCCATACTTTGGATTAGACAGGGAGAGCAAGGGGTTCTGGCTGGAAGGCGGGGCAGATGCAGCCACAGCCTTTCGAGGATCGTCCGGGGATGGCTCCGCGCCCGCGCCGAGATGAATCTTGCTGGCGGTAAAGCGATGGACGGGGGCGTTTAGTAGATCCCGGGCAGATGGCAGCGGAATTGATTCCAATATGTCTGGATTGACATTTTGGTGAGAGAAAGTAGCTTGCTTTACGGTTGGATCGGGTGAGATATCGGGAACCTGCTCTGTGGACTCTGTCGGTCGCTTCTGTCCTGCCACGGGCGCTACATGATACGCTTGTCGACGAGCGATATCAATGGATGTCTGGAACCGAGACTGGACTTGACCCGATGTCGACATGCCTTTTAACGCCGTTCAGCCATTCATCTGGTGAGGGGATAAAGCCAGAGTTAGATTTATTCCAAATTGGCCATCTTTCTGAATTTTGAATGTTTGTTTAACATATCATGTTGTTTTCCTATGTTTTTGTTTTACCTACGCTTAGTCTTTTCTGCCTGAGGCACTCGCAGATTATATCAGCGGCTATGTTATTCGCTCAGACCACCAGGGCACCTGGGTTGTCTTAACTTGATGTCCCTGAGAGCGTTTTCAATAATGTACGTATTGCGGAATTATTACTCTTATTGCATGCTTTCATGCTTTGCATTAGACTGTATGTTCCGATATGGTAATCCCTTGTTTGGGAACTTACTAGATCATACTTTATGTGGAGGCTCAATGTGGATGCCGTTCCTCCAAGCCCTGAAGCCCTTATTATTATCCGGTAGAAGCGCACAATGATCTAAAATTGATATTTGCCCCATGTCGACGGATGCCTAGGAACAACTGGCGCAGTTTTGTCCAATCTCGTGTGTCGTCGGAGCCGAGTGTCGGCTGACGATCTCTGGGGCCAACGGCAATGGATCTGCCTCGCGGCTGGACATCGTGGCATCCGAACCTACATAACAACGTAAATGTAGAACTAGGTTGACACACACCGGGGAAAATAGAAGAATTGGGGGGGGAAGCAAATATTCCAAATTTGGGTGTCCATGCTGAGGCCAGGTACAGAATCTGAGACTCCGATCGGGGAGGCGTCATAACGACTGTATGAGTCGCGCGTACCACCTATGCATTCGGATTAGCATTAGCCAGATTACGAGGTTTCAGTAATTATGGCGATAACACGGAATTCAGTGCGTGGAATGTGATATAGATCATCTTTCTCTTCAGAAAAACATTACAAGTTGCCACCGCAGGTTTCGATATCAAGAGAGAACACCTTGCCCATGTTGAACCGTAAAGGTGACTTGTAATTGTCGGGGTGTTTGGATTCCTCGGAGGTCTGATCGCCGTATATATATACATATATATCCAACATCTTTTCTCAGGTTCAATTTCATACACACTACACAAATCATAAAATTACCCGGTCCCATGGGTGGATTTCCCAACGGAGTAGTCCGGCACGTTATACCTAAAGAGACCTTTATGGCAAATCATCCTCGGCCAGTTCTCGGCGGATCGATCGTCATTGGAGAGAAGTTTAATTACCTATGATACTACCTATAATACTATAATACTATAATACTATAATACTATAATACTATAATACTATAATACTATAATACTTAACTCTGATACTCTGATACTCTTGCATATGTATTTTCCAACTCTATCTGTCCCACAGTGTACTATACCTCTATAGAACCCCCCTTTTGCCTCTCCCGAGATAATGTGTTTGGTCGCACAGGATCAGGCGAACGGGGAAAAATCACCAAAATAGCAAATAGTATAGACGTACAGGTCATGTATTGTATTTTTTTTTCCAATATCAGTCCAACTCCCTTGAGCTCCAGACTTTGAAAGCCCATGAGTTCTGATTATACACGTTCCGCATACGGATATAACATTCCTCTCTCTCTCTCTAGACCGAAGGAATAGCAAGGGAGGTCCAAGGTCCCATGTTCTCTTTAGGCGTCATATTAACATATTGGGACTAGGGGCCAGGTCGGGATCTTCGACTCTCTCTTTTTTTTTTTCTTTTTCCCCCTTCCCCATTCCCCGTTGGGCTATATCGTCTCTTTTCCCGCTAAATAACTTTTGACCCGCTTCTCCCGACCCATCCCTCCCTCCACTCTATCTACTCTTCTCTCTCTCTCTCCTTCTACCCTCTCTATCCTTCTATTCTCCCCTATTCAATCCCTTATATTCATGTAAGTTCCTATTCTTCATCTCCCCTATTCTTCTACCCCATATTCAGCTTCGATTGTTATTAGGCAGTCCCCTATGTTATTCATGTTCATGTTCATGTCTGTTCTTGATATCGGAAACGCCCTTCAACCCCTGCAGAGAATAAGATCTGACACGGTCCACTCTTTGTCTTTCCCACTTTTTTGCTTTTCCCTTCGCAACTCCCTTTGAAGTTCTTCGCGTCTACCGGATCCCAAGCCCATCTGCCCACCTACCCGTATTTTGAGATTTTCTCTTCCTTTTTGCATTCCAGCGTGTCCCGCACTTTCAAGGAATACGGGTTCCCCAACTAATCCGTCACAGCTCCCTCTTGGGCTTTATATTTCCACTTCTCTCAACTTCTACTTTGTTCATCATTCTCATTCGCCAGTGGATGACTAAAAAACTCACTCAATGACCACTCCCAACTCTCCGGAGGCAGTGGCCGATTCGGCTAATGGCTCCGCCACCGCGTATGGCACGCGATCGAGAGGTCGTAATGCTCCCCGGCCAAATTACGCCGAGGACCGTGACCTAGACGCGGACATCGATCTCTCTGCACCAAACTCAAAGTCTGCCAAACGGCACAGTGGCGTGGCACTCAACAACATTGTCAATGGCGCTAATGGCGATGACAAGACCTCGACGCAACCAAAAAAGGGCTTGCCCAACGGTCAGAGCGTAAATGGATCGGCAAAAGATGCCATTCCTGGCACCTCTTCATTTTCTGCCAGACCTGAGGATGCGAATGGATCTAATTTGAGAAAACGCAAACAACCCGCCAGCACGCCAAATTCCACCCCCAACTCGGGTTCGGTGAAGAAGATCTTCACCTCCCCCCAGGCGATGATGAGGGGGGTTATTTCACCAATATGGTGAGTTTCGAAAACCACGGGCCCTATCTGCAAGATGGCCAATTAATAGCCGACGATGGCACCACTTTTGCCCTCAATGGTTAGTCCACACATCCTTTAATGTGATCATTATGAAACTAATAAATTTTTTATAGACCATGTTTATTTAATTTGCGAACCTCCGGGTGAGCCCTATTATTTAGCCCGCATCATGGAATTTCTTCCATCCAAAACCAAGCCGGGTGGCTTCATTGAGGCTATGAGAGTCAACTGGTACTACCGTCCACGAGATATCCAGCGTCATTCCCCCGACACTCGGTTTGTTTTTGCTTCAATGCACTCCGATACTTGTCCTCTTTCTTCATTACGGGGCAAGTGTGAAATTCGACACGTATCAGAAATTGAGGACATTAGCTCTTACAAGAAGACGAGGAACTGTTTCTGGTACGACAAAATGTTCGACCGATATATCCATCGCCTTTACGATGTCATTCCGACTAAAGATATCATTAATGTTCCGAGCAACGTCAAAAAGGTTCTCGATGAACGCTGGAAATTCATTCTTGTCGAGATCGGCAAGGGGAAGGAATTGACGGGTGCCGTCAAGACGTGCAAGCGATGCCGTTTATACGCCGCAAACTCCGAATCCGTTGACTGCGCAGTTTGCAATTCAACATATCACATGCACTGTGTACGACCCGCCTTGACCAAGAAACCCGCTCGAGGATTTGCTTGGGCTTGTGCCGCTTGCAGTCGCGCCCAAGAGCGCAAACTCGAGGCCCGCAATACACCATTAACTGGCAGCATCCGAACAGATGGCGAAGATGTGATCATGGAAGAAGAGGAAGAAGAGGATCCTTATAATCATGCGAATGGTATAGCAAACGGCACCTCCGCCAGCACTCCTGCAGCCGAGGAAGATTCCATGCCTCAGCCCGCAACCGTGGAACAAATCGCACAGGCCAAAATGTGGCCTTACCGATACCTAGGTATTCACTGCCGTGTGGAGGATGCTCTGGACTACGATGATCGAATTTACCCCCGAGCTAGCTCACGTCTAGGAACTCGACACCAGGCATTGGTTCCCGCTTGGCCAGGCCGCGCAGTCGAATACGTGAAGCCCCTTGATGGGAAGAAGAAATCAAAGGCATCCGGTGGCAAAAAGGACGGCAAGCTCTCCAAGGATGCGCAGGCAGCAATGGAGGCTGCAAAGCGCGAGAGGGCAAACCGACCGCCGTGGGTTCAAGATGAGCCAGCGGGCTATGTGCATCGTGGTCTGGATGAACCGATCACAATCAACGGAAAGCAGGTGCGCACAGCCGAACTTCAGTTCAAAATGCCCGAGCCCGATCAGATCCCCGCCCGCGGTGAAGATGATACACCAGGCTCTCATTTAAGCGTTGAGGATCGAGAAAGGTTTATCGACGACTACATGCGCCAAGCCAAGGAACTGGCCCCTGGGATTGGAGTGGAGAAATATTCCACGAATTTCCTCGACAGAGCCCTTGCACTTCTTTACTCTGAGAGCTTCGATATTCAGGCTGCTCTTGCTAAGCTGAAGAAAACCAACAAGTACAAGGATCTTAAGGAGCCTCACATTCGACCCGAGGAGCTCAAGCTATTCGAACAGGGTGTCGCCAAGTATGGATCCGAATGGCGCAATATCATGAAGCATGTCAAGACTGTCCATATCTATCAGATCGTCCGTTTCTACTACATGTGGAAGAAAACCCCAAGCGGTCGGAAGATTTGGGGCAGTTATGAAGGCAGACGTGGCAAGAAGGAAGTACGCCGTCACAGTGTAATTTCGTCTAAACTGGTCGACGACGTGGCCGATGATCATGATGATTCCGCCTTTGACTCCGAGAAAGCGATTGTCCAGAAGCGTGGGTTCCATTGCAAGTTCTGCTCCACCCGTCATTCACGACAGTGGCGCCGTGCGCCCCTAGTTCCACCAGGCACCGTTATTCCATCCGAGCCCTCAAACAAGAAAGACAAAGGCCCTATGCTCACCGTTGCGCTCTGTCTGCGCTGCGCCCTGCTATGGCGGAAGTACGGGATTCAATATGAGGATGTTGACGAGGTTGCAAAGAGGATTGCAAGCAGCGGTAACAAGTCATGGCGACGCCGCATCGACGAGGAAATGCTCGCGCAACTGATTGTAGCTACCGAAACCCCGTTCATGATCACTCCTGCCACAGCAACTACGGCTACTGCCATGGGTATTCCGCTTGATACAAACCCTCGACTCTTGACGGATGGAAAAGTGGATGGAAAAGTGGAAGGAAAGGTGGAAGGAAAGGTGGAAGGAAAGGTGGAAGGAAAGGTGGATTCGACGAAAAAGAAGGCCAAGGACACCCCCGCACATTCAGCCGCGACGTCTGTCGAGCCTATGCCGAAAAAGAAGACGGTCCCCGAGAAGGTGGTGGAAGCTCCCCCGATTGTTCCCGACCCGCCAAAGGCAAAGACTCTCCCTTGTTCAATCTGCAACCAAGTTGAACCTTCGGGCGAAGAGCACCTTTCATGTCGGGATTGCCGTCTGACAGTCCATCGCAATTGCTACGGTGTCCGGGATTCGCGTGCCAGCAGTAAATGGCTATGTGATATGTGCTCCAACGACCGCACTCCGTCTATTTCGACAAATTACACGTGTGTTCTTTGCCCAGTCTCATGGACTGAGCACCACCTCATGGAGACGCCTAAGAATAACTCCCGGAAGAAGACTGAGCGTGACAAGGAAAAGGAGCGCATGGAGAAGGAGATGGTTGCTGAAGCTATCAAGCTATATCGCCAGCGACAGGAGGCCGTTGGCAAGCCTGTCGGTCCTCGAGAGCCCCTGAAGCGTACTGCAGGCAACAACTGGGCCCACGTGCTTTGCACCCTGTGGACCCCGGAGTTGAAGTACGGCGATGCAGAGGAGCTTGAGCCTGCGGAAGGATTTGGATCTATTCCCAAAGAGCGATGGCGCGAGACGTGTAAGGTCTGCAAGTCAAATCAGGGCGCATGTGTACCATG